CCCCTCCTCCCCTACCCCCTGTGCTGCCTGCGCCTGGTCTCCAGCTGCTGGTCTCAGCCATGCTGCCCGTGCAGAGGGGGGAGCTCCTGCTCCCTGCCAGGCCCTTGGGCTCCTCCCCTTCGCTGGGGAGGTGCTGGGGGCTCCTGCGCAGGGTCCTGTGTTCGGCTCCCTGTGCACAGCTCAGGGTCGCTGCTGCCTCCAGCGGTTGAAGGACCTTGGTGCCAGACAGCTCCTCAACCCCTTTGTTGGCTAAAATCATGTCCAGCCCCTACATCAGTGTCCTGGGAACGCTGGCAGCTTCATTTGTGGATGTTCCCTGTAACCATGATGCCTTAATGTGTAATGCTTATCCTCTGGGGAGGGGGCCCTGCCCTCGTTACACTTTTTAAATGCCACCTACCCCCGTTTGTTGGCATGGCACCCCTTTGGTCACGCCCCTCATGGGTTATTAGGAAAGATTCACAACTTCCCGCTTTGCTGCTGGTCCGTTCTTCACCCGAGACGTGGTATCTCCAGGGGGGAGGGTGGTGTGACAGCCTGTGTGACACCTGCCACCCCCGGTGTCCAGAGAGCTCTGGGTGGGGCTGCGGGGTCACTGTGTCACCATCACCTCACTCCACTGCAGCCACAGGGGCTGCAAAGCACTGAAATCCTGGGACAGCACCTGCCCTCCCGGCTGCTCCGGGCGGAGGATGGACCCGTGTTCTGCAGCTGCTCTCCCGAGGCGATCAACAAAGAGCTTGCAATGGACAAGTGCTCAGAGCGGTTAATGCCTTATGTATCTGTTCTGCCTTGACAACCTGTGCCTGGCCTGTCAGTATTTATTGCCTTGACACTCGCCCCCCGTGCCCCCGGCCCGCAGCACCTGCCTGCGCCCGGCCGCACGGAGCCCGCGAGCCAGGGCTGGGCAGGCACCTCCAGCTCCTCCTGTTTGAATCCTCCCGCCCTGAGGTCGTTCTAGAACCGGGACCAAGTACATGTGGCTTTCTCGTAGCTGCGTCTCTGCCTCTAACTCTCCCCTGCCCTGCCCCTAAAGAGATTTTTGTTAAATTGATTGGTGCGTATTGTCTGTAAATCCTAGACCCAGGTTAACAGGTTTGGAATCATCATCTGCTTCTTCTTTTATGACAGTTAAATAAAATCTTTGAACTGACCGTCTGCTGCCCTGGGTCTGTTCTTGGTCGTTGGTGGGAAGTGGCAGAACAACTGTTCCATGGGGGATTTGTGTGAGCACCTGGGGTGTGAGAGCACCGGGATCCTGCGGCCCTGGCGGCAGAGGCAGGAGGTGCAGGGTCTGCCCTGTGCTGCTGGCTCTGGGTGGGGAAGCAAGCTGGGGGCCTCTGGAGGGGCCCCTTGACAGCTGAGGGGCTCCAGGGCTGGGCCAGCTGCACTGTGCCAGCTCCAGCTGTGAGCACGGAGCAAGATTCCTGCGCAGTTGGAAGAATGAGGGAGGCAGGAGAATGGAATCCAGGAGCAGGGGTGTGATAAGAGCCGTCGGATGTTTACAGAGCTCGTGGCATGTTTGTGTTACGGATAAGGAAAGTGTGGCTGAGCATACAGCATGAGAAGCTGGGGAGGGGATGGTGAGGACCTGCTCCCGGTCTGCGACCCGTGATGGGAGCCCAGCTGTGCTGATAACGGGAACAAAGGCCCCTCGTGTGCCGCCCCGCGGGCAGCGGGACAGATCCTGCCTGATGCAATCCCGGCTCTTTGGTAACCGCGGCTGTTGGCGGTTCCGTTAGACTGGGGGCCCAGGGTGCGAATGGCTGCAAGGGGGATTCACTGCTCGTGGTTTCTGCAGCTCGTGCTCCAGTTGCAGGACAGGCCGGGCTCCCCCGCCCCGCCGCCCAGGCCCCAGGCCCCACCGGCGG